CTGTAACTGGCGACTTCAACACCTCTCTCCTCAGGGTGAGTGACAGAGCCACTAAATCAGGAAGGATACAGAAGAACACAACACCACTGTCAACCAATAGGATCCAACTCATGTATACAAACCATTTCCCCACATAACAGAATACACTTTTTTTTTTTCACGTGTCCATGGAACATTTACCACCACAGGCCCACAGAATATAAACCAAGATATACCATTTCTGGGGCAAAAAACAAACCTCAACAAATTTAAAAGAACTGAAATCTTACAAAGCATGTTTTATGACCATAATGGAGTCACAGAAATCAATTAACAGAAAGATAACAGGAAAATCCTAAACTCTTAGAAACTACAACACACTTCTAAATAGTCCATGGGGAAAGAAGACATTTCAAAAGAAACAAAAATGCATGTGAAACTAAATAAAAATGAAAATACAACATATCCAAATATGTGGACACAGCTAAAGCAGTGCTGAGGAGGAAACTTATAGCACTTAAAATGCTTACACTGGAAATGAGGAAAGGCCTCAAATAAATAAGCTAAGTCTCTACTTCAAGAAACTAGGAAAAAAGAGCAAAATAAATCCAAAGGAAGTAGAAGGAAATAATAAAGAGAAAAAAAATTCAATTGAAAACAGGAAAACCATAAAGAAAAATCAGTGAAACAAAAAGCTGGTTCTTCAGGGGGAAAAAAAATCTGATAAACTTCAAGGAAGACTGACAAAAATAAGACACAAATCAGAAACATCAGGAAAGAAACAGAAGACATGATTACTCTCACCACTCTTAATTCAACATAATACTGGAAGTTGTAGCTGCTGCAGTGAGGCAAGAAAAAGAAATCAAAGACATACTTATTAGGAAAGAAAAACTAAAGCTGTCCCTATTTGCAGATAACATGGTGATGTATGTAGAACATCCCAAAGAACGTACGGGAAAGCCCTAGAACCAATAAGTATATTTAGCTAGGTCACAGGACACAAGATTGAGACACAACTACCAATCACATTGTTGTATACTAACAATGAGCATTTGGAAACTGAAAATAAAAGCACAGTATCATTTAAAATTGTTCCAAAGCAAACAAAATACTTTAATATGAATATCACAAAGCACATACAGGATCTATATGCTGATAATTGCAAAATGATGAGCAAAAAAATCAAAGCTGACCTAAATAAATGAAGGCATTTCATGTTCATGGATTGGGAGACACTGTAGTAGACATGCCAATTCTCCCCAAACTGATCTACAGGTTTAATACAATTGCTATCAAAATCCAAGCGAAGTTTTTATAGACATAGAACAATGTACCCTAAAATTTAGTGGAAAGGCAAAGGCCCTAGGATAAGCAATCTTGAAAAATAAAAAGTGGGAGAAATCATTATCTTATATTAAGGCCTACTATGTGGCTACAGTAATCAATCAACACAGTGTGACACTGGCAGGAGAGACATACAAATCAGTGGAATGGAATAGAGAACCGAGAAATAGACTCACACTGATTTTTGACAAAGGTGCAAAAGCAATTCAATGGAAGAAAGATAGTTTTCAACAGATGTCACTGGGACAACTGGATATCCACAGGTGAAAAAAAAGAATCTCAATCTTTTACAAAAATTAACTCAAAATAGATCAGGGACTTAAATCTAAACTGTAAAACTTTTAGGAAAAAAATAGAAGAAAATCTTTGGGATCTAGAGCTAGACAAAGAGTTCTTAAGACTTGCCATCAAGCGCATAATCCATAAAAGAAAAAATTGATAAACTGTACATCAAAATTAAAAACTTTGCTCTGTGAAAGACAAATGGATGAAAAGAAAAGCTACAGTGCTACAGAGTGGGAGAAAATATTTGCAAACCATATATCTGACAAAGGACTAGTATCTATGATATATAAAGAAGTCTTAAAACTCAACAATAAAAAACAAGCAACCTAATTACAGAATAGGTAAAAAACATGAAGAGCCATTTCACCGAAGAGGATGTACAGATGGCAAGCACATGAAAAGATGTTAACACCATTAGCCATGAGGGAAATGTACATTAAAACGGCAATGAGACAGCGCTTACACACATACCAGAATGGTCGAAAGAAAAAACAGCGACAACACCAAACGCTGGCAAGAATGTGGGGAAACTGGATCACTCCTACACTGCTGGTGAGAATGGAAAATAGAAAATGGTGCAACCACTTTGGAAACAGCTTGGCAGTGTCTTATAAAACTAAACAAGCAACTACCATACAACTGAGCAATTTTACCTCAGATACATGAATATTTATGTATGTACAAAATCATGTACATAAATGTTCATAGAAGATTTAGTCATAATGGGCAGAAACTGGAAAAACCACCAGATGTCCTCCCACTGATGAATGGTGAAACGGTGCACTGTGGTAAATCCACACCATGATACCACTCAACAGTCAAAAGACATAAACTGTTGATTATAGATACATGCAACAATTTAGGAGAATCACCAGCGACCTATGCCGAGTGATAAAAGCCAATTCCAAAGGTCACATTTTGCACGAATCCACTTACATGCTTGAAATGACAAAATTATAGAATTGGAGACTAGATGGGTCACTGGCAGGGTCGGAGAGGAGGGGAGGGGAGGGAGTGGCTATGGAAGGCAACAGGAGGCATCCTTACGGTGACGGGAATGTTCTGTGTCTTTTGCAATGTCAACATCCTGGCTGTGACACTGTACAACAGTTTTGCAAGATACTACCATGGAGGGTAACTGGGTGGAAGGGACTTGGGATCTCTGTATTAGTTCTTACAAGTGCAAAGGGCTTACAATTATCTCACCGCTAAATCCTTGTTTAAACACAGATATTGTTCTGAACAGTATCATTCCAAAGCCCACTATTAAAGCCACTACAAAGCAATTTATTTAAAAAGTCTCTTCCCAAAGTGATCTGTCCAAACAAAGATGGGGGAGGGTAATTTTTGGTTTTAGATTGAAAGCTGAATCTAACTGGCTATTGAAATAGTCGCAACAAATAGAGTGAGTTCAAGATAGAACTACAATTGAGTAAAAAAGTTGGGAGGGAAATAGGATGTGCTTAACAAACGGTTTCTGTTGATAAGTCAGTAAAAGCTAATGTTTGTAGGCATCGGGAAAAGATTAAGACTGTACTTTTATACTGTCTTAATATACTTATTAAGTATATTATATATACTTAAACACACTTATATACTGATTTAGATTTAAGATTCTAGGTTTCTAAGTATTTTCTCTGCCTCCTGAGTTTAAAGAAACTAGGAGACAGTCAGGCAAATCTTTATGCTCTTATACCTGCCTGGTTTGGCGGTCCAGAAAAGCAGCAAAAACAAAATCTGGCTCAGTGGCAGAGAGAGACGACCAAATGCACTTTGCCCCAGAAGATGAGGGGAATTTTAAACACAGAGTCTATCCCCTGAATCACCCAGGGCACCCAGCCTTTAAAGATGAAGTACTGGACCAGAGCTCTGACTCAGAGAGGCTTCTGGAAGAGGTGAAAAGGAAAAGGGTGTTTTATCGCTCCAATTATTCTCTTCCCGTGGTGAGCCTAAAAGGGCTATTTCTATTATAAAGAAATAATTTAATAACAGATCCACAGCGTGGGAATGCTGGTGCGAGATTCCCGATGCTGGCCTGGAAGAAAGAAGGCTGAAAGTTTGGAGCAGGGTCCCAGCATCCAGGTCCCAGGGAGGCGCCCCTTCATTTCCAAGGCCGGAAGCTTCCTCATGGGTGAAGTGAAAGAAAAATGTGCCAGATGGGTTCCACAGCCCTTTGCTAAATTTAAAGTCCCCCGGGCACCATAAAATCTAGTCTCCAGGCAGCTCTCTGGTGCGACAAGCTCCCCTCTACCCCTGCTTTGAGACAGCTTTCCTCACACCTGTAATGTGGTTTCCCCAAAGTGGGCCTGGCAAGTGAGGTGAGGAGGCAAGGAAAGGGCAGACGAAAACCAAAAAAAGAACGGGAATGGCTGGAGGTAGTAGGTGCAGCAGAAACACTCCTTTCCCGTCGGTCGTTTTCTCCAGGCCCCCTTTCTTCGGCGACCTTTGCCGCCGGCTCACAGTGGAGAAACTAGAACCCAGGCTTTGTCGAGGCGACAGGCTTCTTTCACAAATAAAATGAAAAGAATAAAAACGGAGCAAGAGACAGGAGGAGGAGCTGGAGATTACACACCACTGATGAGCTATATTAACAATTACAGTTCAAGGATTTAATCTGTGCTTCGATACAAACAAAACAATCAGGCGCAATAAAGGGCATCGGAGCCCGGGCTGGGCAGCTGATACTGAGGAACTCTGTTTCTAGGTTTGATACGGGCGCTGTGGTTACGGTTTTTGAGAGACCTCATCTTTGAGCGAGTCTCTTCTAATGTGACCGGACGACGTCTGCGATTTGCTTCAAGCTCACGGGGACAGGAGCACAGGTGAACCAAGGCCGGCACTGAATCGATCACTGCTGAGGGGTGTGGTGTGTGTGTGTGTGGCGTTTAGGGCGCGTCCAGGGCGCTGTACACGATGGACGTTTTCCTGATGAACAGTGAAAAGGGGGGCCTGGGGGCCAGTTTCCTCTCTAGCCTACACGGCTCTTCGGAGCTTCCCGGGAGGGCAGGGCCAGCTGGATGGAAACGCGAACGCGCAGATGCCATCCGCAGGGGCGCGTCTTCCCCACCACCGACACCCGCTTCCCGCCCCTCCAGAGCCCCAGAACTTGGCCAGCTTTCCACTCCCACGGCCCCCAAGTCCCCTAGAAGGGCGGGGGCGAAGGCCATCAAGCCGACAGGGAGACACGGTGCGCAACCTTGGCCAGCTCCCCCAAAGCTGGGGCGCCTGGACGGCCGGGGCTGCACCCGGCCCGGGGGGGCAGACAAAGGGGTGGGCCGTCGCCCCGGCCAGGGAGCGGTGGTCCGCGGGGCCGCACCTGCGCGCACCTGGGCGCCACTCGCGCACACTTGGGCGCAGGTGTGCGGGCAGGGATGCGGGGACACACGCACCTTGAGGATGTTGTCGAAGATGGTGTCGCGGAACTCGAGCAGCGCTTTCTGGTCGAACTCGCGGCCGTGGATGATGCGCATCTGCTTGAGGAAGGTGGACTTGCCGCTCTCGCCCGCGCCCAACAGCAGGATCTTGACGAGGCGCCGCACGGCGCGCCGCTCGCGAGCCAGCCCGGCGTCGATGTCCCGGCTGCGCCGTCGCGCCTCACGCTCCGCGTCGCGGGCCCCGCCGCCGGCCGCTCTGCGCTCGCGGGCCCCGCCGGCCTCGGCCGGCAGCAGGCAGCGGCTGAGGGTCCGCACCACGCCGGACATGGCCGCTCAGGCCATGGATCCCGCCGCGGGCGAGGCGAGCCCCGCGCGGCAGCCGGCCGCTCCCTCAGGCCGCGTCCGCCGCCGCCGCCCCGAGGCCCACTCTCGCCCGCCGCTTGGCCCCGGCGGAGGGGCGGTGCGGCGCTGTTCGGGGCCTGGGGATTGGGCAGGCTGCCGCCCATACGGACGAACGCGCCCTCCGATTGGGCCGTGCCACGCCGTGGGGGCGGGCATCCCTCCGGCCCTTGGGGCGGGATCGGCGCCGAAAGAGGAGGGACCTTTGGGGTGGGGGCGCTTCCCATTGGACACCCGGGCCGAGGTTCTTTCTTTCAGAATGAAAGGGAGGCGGGGTCACCGGGAAGGCGGGGCGGCCGCCCGCCATGACCAATTATAATTGCTCTGAGATCACGTCAATCACGGCGAATGGGCTTGGGATTGGGGGCTTCGCGAAACGGGGCGGGACCAGAAGTGCCAGGTGTACAGAAAGAGTCCTCCTGGGTTTTCAGGTTGGATCAACCTGTGAGACCAGGAGGTTCGCAGAATGCTCTCCCCGTTGCCCGAAAGCTAGGGAATGCCGATAAGAGGTCCTTCTGTTCGTCTTATGTTTACAGAGAAAGCTGTTCCCTAAACTATTTTCCTTCCAGAAACACCGGAGGGGGATGGGCCATACATTTCAGACAAATGCACCCTTTGAGACAGGCATGGGCCTCTGGGAGACTTTTCTCAAAGCTGGCTAATCATCAGAATCACCAGAAGCGCCCCCCAAAAGCTTTCTGTAGCACAGTGATTGAGAGTGGGGTCTGGAGCTGCTGAGTCTGAGAGTCGGAATCTGCACTCGACCCCTTAATACAATAGTTGAATAACATTTTAAGCGGGAACACTTTGTTCCCCCACCGATTTTTAGCTTCATTTTCCTCATCTGTAAAATGGGGACGATAATAGCAACTACCTCATACGGCCGTGAAGCTATGAACTGAAAACATGAACTTGTAAAACCCTTAGCATGGTGCCTGGACCCAAGTAAGTGCCTGCTAAATGTTGGCTGATCTTATCACAGTCTTAGTGTTGAGTCAGAAGCTGCTGGAAGAAACTCAGGTATCTCTTAATCTCCAAGTGATTGGCCAGAATTGGGAGCTATGGTCTGTGAAGATAAACTGAGGCACATTAAGAAGTTTAAGGGCTTGAGGAAAAATCGATTCCAGCTGGGCATGGCCAAACTGAATAGGGGCACTCCCCCAGGACAAGTGCCAGGGGAAAGACTGACACAGAGAAAGTGTGGAAGCAAAGAAAGGACATTATTTGATTGGCTGTAGCTTAAAAACTAGGTGGCTGTTTGTGACTGGTTGTCCTTAGCGTTTTGCTTTTGTCACCTTGAGGCATTTACAGGCTTAAAGTCTGGTTTTCCTACACAGGCCACCACTGCATTAGAGCCACCTGAGTCTAGGCATTAGAGCCACCTGAGTCTAGTCAGCGGCTGCCTTGTTGAATTATAACAGGTCTTAACGATCATCCGGTCCAAAACCTCATCATCATCTACAGCTGTGTACAGAGCAGCCGGCAAACAACTTACCCGAGGCCCACACAAGGGCTGGCTAGAACCTGCTCTCTTTCACTCTGTCCCTTTGCCCCTAACTGCTGAGGGGCACATGCACTAGAAAAAATTAGTGCGTGCGATTTCACTCAGTTCTACAAATAATGTTTGCATCGTCATGAAAACACTAGGCACTGAGGACTTCTGGAGAGGAATCGGAAGACAGAAAAGATACAGCCTTTGCATCAAGAACCTTACACATTAGTTAGAGAGCCAGACCGCTCAAGCAGCTGGGCAGAGTGCAGACTAATGGATCCCTAGTTTCTGCCAGAGAACTGTGGTACTCCGTGTTTTAACTCAGAGATGTAAACTCCCTGAGGACCTTCATTGCCCATGGCATGTAGCATTTGTCAATTACTGAGGCATGAATTTGTGTCACTTATGAGACAACACATCATCTAGTCCTTTGTCATCCTTCAAAATGCTGAAAAAGAAAGTTTTGTCTTTGTGAAAATGGCCTCCCCAAAAAAACCGAACACTAGCTTAATGATCAAAGTGAAGAGAAAGTAAAGTGGCCTCAGAAAGCAATGTTTCTTAGACAGAAAATAGGAATTTGGAACAAATAAGGAGGAGGATGTGGGATTCAGCAGTGGATCAGTTACCCTTTCTACAATTAAAAGAAATTAAGTAAAGGTGATTCAGAAAACACTTTGAGCAGAGGTAAAAAGAACCAAATAATACCTCTAAAATGAAAAATATAATAATTGAAATAGAAACTTAATAAATATGTTAAGTTGCAGATTAAGACACAGATGAAGAGAATAAACTGGAATATCTGAGAAAAATTGCCCTGAATCCAACACAGACAAAAATATGGAGGATAAAAGACAGGAAAGATAGAGGAAGAATAACGTATTTAACCAGAGTTCTAGAAGGGGATACAGGGAATGAGGAAGAGGCAATATCTGAAGTGGTAATGGCTGAGAATTTTAAATCGACACATGGCACAAAATGCCTAGCTTGATAAATAAAAAAAAATACAGACAAAGATACACCATAGTGAAATTGAAGGGCATCAAAGATAAAGATCTCAAAAGCAGGCAGAGAGAAAACAGTAATAGCTACTATTCATATAAGTCACTAGGTGCCAGGCCCACACTAAGCACCTTGCCTCTACTAACTCATGTAGTCCTCAGAGGAAACACAAAAACTCAGAGCGGATACCTCAACAACAAAAGTGGGAGCCACATGGGAAATGATACCTTATGTGCATTAAGAGAAAATAACCATTAATCAAGAATTGTAAACCCTGTAAAAATATCTTTCAGGAAAATGAGGACATTTCAAACAGATTATTTTACATATCGTGTGCTATGGGCTGAATTTTGTCTCCTTCCTGAAATCCCTATGTTGAAACCCTAACCCCAGCACCCCAGAATGTCACTGTATTTGGCTTTAAAGAGGTAGTTAACTTACACTGGAGTCTTCAGGGAGGGCCTTGATCCAATATGACTGGTGTCCTTATAAGAAAAGGAATTTGGACACACACATGGACAGAAGGTGCACCATGTGAAGACACAGGGAGAGGATACTCACTTACAAGCTTAGGAGAGAGGCTGCAGATTCAGAAACCAACCCTGATGGCACCTTGATCTTGGACTTATAGCTTCCAGATTGTGAGAAAATAAATTTTTGTTATTAACTCACCCAGGCTGTGGTACTTTGTTATGTCAGCCTTAGCAATCTAACACAATGTGCTTCAGGAAGAAGGAAAAATAGTCTCAAAAGTAAGGTCTGACATACGAAAAGGAATGGTGGACACTCTGTGAACATATAGGTAACTCTTACCATTGACTGCATTAAACAACAATAATAATTTTAACTTGTGGAGTTAAGGAAAAATAGAACTAAAATACTGGACACTAAAGGCATATGTGTAGGGAGGAGGCAATCACAATTAAAGTGTTCTAAGATCTTTACATTGTTTGAGAGGAGAATAAATTTTTTTTTTAAAGATTTTTTTTTTATTGGGGAATTGAGGGAGGGGAACAGCATTGGGGAATCCGGGAAAGGGAACAGACAAGTTGCTGTCCTTTTGTTCTTCAGTCCAGTTATGGAGGACATGGCTTCACTGGCCCATGTTGATATTATCATTGTGCTCTTCCCTGGTGAGGCAGTTGCTTGCTGCCCATTGGATGGCCACTCACGGCGGCTTACGGCAGCTCACAGTAGCTCACGCCCGCTGCCGGCCAGCCCCACTGCAGCCTACACCGTCGCCGGCAACTCACGGCAGCCCAGCTCCAGGTCGAGCTGTTGTTCACCATCTTAGCTGTAGAGGACGCAGCGTCACTGGCCCTCATGTGGGATCCGAATTGGGGCCCTGCAGCTCAGAGCTGGCGTCCCTAGCCAACTCTTAACCAATGAGCCACTTGACTGGCCTGAGAATAAATATTTCAATTAATGTTAAGCTTTGTGGAGTTAAATGTTCATGTTAAAATTTGTGGATAAACACAAAAAGAAGAGAAATAGAAGGGCATGAATTCCACACCATCAGAGCGGGGAATGGAATGAGGAAACAAAAATCAATCAATACAAAAGAATGCAAAAAATGAAGAAAAAAGAAACAAGAATAAAAACAGGGCAAAGAGCAACATGAGAAGGTGGAAGTAAATCCAAATATGTGATTCTTCAAATTAAATGTAAATAGACTAAAATAGTTAAAAGACAAAGACTATCAGATTGGATAAAATAAAAATAAGGTCCAGTTACATGCTTATAAAGGATATACCTAATGACCCAGAAAAGATCAAAGTTAAAGAATGGAGAAAGATTTACCAGCAGATAGCAACCAAAAGAAGTCTGGTATATCCATATGAATAGGAAACAAAATAGATTTTTAAGTCTGAAAGCATGACTAATGGTAAAGAGAGCCCTTTTGTACAATAGAAGGTTTAATTCACTAGTAGGATATAACAATTCTATACTTGCATGCAGCTGATAACATAGGCTCAAATATTTAAGGCGAAAAAAAAAATCGACAAAACCTCAAGGATAAACTAAAGAATCCACCATCATTATTGGGGTGAGGCTGTGGATTAAACATACTTCTTCTAGTGCAACAATTAACAAGTGTGATGTAATAAATATATGTTGAATAGTGAACCCAATAATTAGAGAATACGCACTGTTCAACTACAAGGAACATTTTCAAAACTCGACCACATGCTTGGCCATAAAGCAAGTTTCAACACATTTTAAACGACTGGAATCATATAGACCACATTCTCTGACCATGTTGCAATCAAATTTTTTTTTAAAAGATTTTTTTTTTGGGGGAATTGGTGGGGATGGGAACAGCACTGGGGAATTGGGGAAGGGGAACAGACAAGTTGCTGTCATTTTGTTCTTCAGTCTAGTTGTGGAGGACGTTGCTGCACTGGCCCAAGTTGGCACCATCATTGTGCTCTTCCCAGGCGAGACAGATCAGTCGCCGGCTTCTGGACGGCCACTCACTGCGGCTGCTGGCCGCTCACGCTGGCTGCTGGCTACATATGATAGCCCATGTCAACCCACTGCC